TGATGCTGGTCTATGATTCCCTTGATTTTGTACAAATTATCAACTCCTGCCGCTGAGAATGCACTCCAAATTCTGATTTTTTTTACCATGTTTAACAATGACCTAGTCAGAGTTCTGACCATAACCCAGTTGAAAACCTTTGGGTGATAATGAACAAGTGTGGCCGCCCATAATAGGAACGTTAACACAGAAGATGAGCTTTTTCCTACTATATATATATATATATATATATATATATATATATATATATATATACACAAATATCAAACAAATGATGAAATGGTAAAATGTTATATATTGAGAGACATTTGACATCAAAAATTTAAATTTAAATTCTAGTGTTTTTGAAGTAAAGTATTAAGAAACAAGAATAATTCTTTAGAAACAAAGAAAAAAGTGTCGAATTGCTATGCAATATCAAACATCCTATATGACAGTGAATGCTAGACAATATCTCCCCAGAGGGAAAGGAGACGAGGCAAGAGAGATGAGATTTTACAGAAGAGTAATAAAAATACCACAGATGGATCATGTAATCAACAAAGAGATTTTAAGAAAAATGGCACCAAAAAGTAAAATTATATTTAAAATCAGAAAGAGAGACTTGAAATTTCTGGGATACAATGAGAAAAGAAGGCTTGGAAAATTTGATACTCACAATACATACTAAAGTCAATAGGGACAAAAAAACAGTAATTTACCTAAGAATGGAAACATTTGGCATTTATTCACTTAGCAACTAGTACTACTTTTAGTTGAAATTTATAAATTCTTTTTCTTAAAATAATTTTTCAGGAGTATACCTATCTCAAGTCCAGTAGCTGTTATTACTCTTTCTAGTATTAATAATGGTTTCTTTCCTAACATTTTATTTGAATAAGTGTGGAATGTCAACATAGCTATTGTGGTTCTTTGAGTTACAAAGTTGTGTAAATGGATGATAGAACAGGGAGTGGAAGAGATAGTAAAAATAATATTGCTAAGAGCTACAAAAGATGGTAAGTTGTGAATAGCCATGGTCGCCCACATCCTGGAGGAGGAGGAGGAGGAGGAAGAAGAAGAAGAAGAAGAAGAAGAAGAAAGGTGATCATGGAGCGATTCCCTATGACTTTTTCCCACAGCTTGATCATTCTCATCTCCTGGTTACCACCCAAGGTGAGAGAGCCTAATCTACTCTGTTATTTTTCTGGAAGGAGAACAAATAGATCCTTGCTATTCCCAAGGGTATTAATGTGAAGTAGGCTCAAACTTGAACTTCGTGTTCCGATTCCACTATGGGTACATCCAGATTTCCTTGTTATTAATCTAAAATGTATTAATTCTTTCCATAATCAATCAGTTATGTGCTATGCATGATACATGCTTAGGCAATCATGTATCTTTTGATACATGACTGACGAGGCAGATATTTTTTCCCTGCAGTAGGTAGCCATTTCTTTCTGCAGTAGACCAGTTGAGATCCAAGATCTATAGAACCCAGTCTGTCCTGCTACTTACCCATAGCTGATGAGGATTCATACTTTTCCCAAAGGTATTAGCATGTAAGTGAATGTAATGGATTCAACTGGAATTTGAACTCAGCTCTCTGATTCCTCTATCCGAGCCGCTATCCATTACTCCATCTTTCCATAATAGATAATTAAAAACTAACAGTGACATGACAACCATCCTTGGGCTCAGTGTCCATTAGTGTCAACAGCATTCTAGATAATCCCTCTCTAGTGGGATCATCCATAGCTGTTGAAATCTATTGTATTTTCATTTTACAGGCATAGTATCCACACCCACATTGAACTGTTATAAACACACATGTGGTAACATGGAAGAACAAATGAAACAACAGTATTGCCAGTGAGGCAAAAGAAAAAGAAAACAAGAATTGTAAATATAAAATTATTTTGTATTGCTAATGAGGTGCATGCAAGCACAGTGTCTCTATGTGGGCAAAGTGTGGCGAGTTAAGTGTATCTCAAGTGCATATGTGTATTGCGTCAGTTGATGGAAATCATGGTGGTGACATTGATAGAGGTCTGAGTAGATTAATGAAACCAGAACCTGATTTTGCCAATACAGAGGATGCAAGTGGAATGTCTACATGGCATGGTGTAGGTGTCTGGAGAAGGTGGGTCATTAATGGATATGTGTGTCAGGTCAGTTGACTGAAGTCATCATGGTGATGCCAAGAGCCTGCTGGATGTCAACAGTTGGCATGTTCTTCTTGTTTCTGTTTCAGTCATTTATGATCAGCTTTCTTAGAAGCAAATCTGATTGTTCCTGAGCTTTTTTTTTTCTGATGGCAACTTTTGTGATGCACTCCTTTTAATTTGTATTTTAGACTTTTGATGGAATTTGTTCTGTGGAGCAGATGCGATGCTCAGAGCCCTTGCTCAGTGGGTGATTTTTTATTTGGGGTTTTGCATTTTTAGCACTCACATCTGGCTGACATGTAGAGCTTCAGACACCTGAGTGTTATGATTTAAAATTCATAGTAGTCGTTCTCTTTGACTAACTGCCAACCAAAGAGCCCATTATGTGTTGCTATTTAACCCATAGATTTCCTTAGTGTATTTGTGCCAAAGCAAATGTGATGAACTCACAGCACACTTTCTCTTTGCAGTCCACTTTTATATATGGTCAGACAGTATTTATGCATTTTTTTGTCTGAGTGATTCTTCTAGATATAAATTCAGGTAAGTTAAAACCTTTCTATGTATCTGTTGTTGAAATACAGTTGACACTAAATGATTTACGTTTCATATTTTTCTCTTTTAATACCAGAATTTGCTGTGATGAGTTTTCACATATTTGTTTAATGAATCCCATCTGTGATATCATCATATGTTGTATAATCAGTTAATATATATTGATTTTGTGAAATAAAATTAAAAAAAAGAAGTTGTTTAGATATTTTTATTTATAGAGGATAAAACATGTTATTGATCTTCATCAGATGCAACCAAAGTAAATGGAATGGGGCAGATTTAACTTTTTCAAAATAAAGTCGGTAAGTGACGCATGCTATTTGCATAATATTCGAAGAAATTGGGATAGTACAGTTGTGTTACACGAATCGATTGCCTGCTATGAAAATCAGCATTCAAAATGATGTTTTTACCTAGGTTCAAACATGGACCAATAAAAACTTTGGTAGGAAAATGATAATGGCAATAGGAAGAGGAATAGAAGAAGTATAGTTGAAAGGGGAAAAGAATACTTATGATGAAGAAGATAAGGATAATGGTGGTTGGAGTGATAGGAAGAGGAACAAGTGAAGGGTGGTAGTAGTGATAGGAAAAAGAAGAGAATACTCATGGTGTTGATCATAAGAGGAAAAGAATAATGGTGAGTGTCAAAGGAAGAGGAAGAAAAGAAGGGTGGTGAGAGTTGTAGAAAGAGGACAAGGATATTTATGGTGGTTATAGGAAGACAAAATGGATAATGGTGATGATAGCAAAAGGAACAAGAGAAGGGTGGTGGTAGAGGCAGGAAAAGATAGAGAAGTGGTGATAGAAAAGAAGAAAAAGATATTGATGGTGGTGGGAGGAAGAGGAATGGGATAAGGGTGGTAGTAGTGGTAGGAAGAGGAAGAGGATACATAATGGTGATAGGGAGAGAAAAAGGATAATGGTTATGGTGATAGGAAGAGGATAGTGTTAGTGGTAGGAATGGTTGTGATAAATGAGGTGGTGAGAGTGCTGATGGTGGTAGTAGTAATGATGATGATGATGATGATGATGATGATGATTTTGTTTTTGTTTTCAGAGAATTTAAATATCACTGACTATATTCTGGATAATGGGAAGAAAAATAAGGATACATTTACATAAATTTTTTAATTGATATTTTTATCATACACTGTTTACTCCATTGTGATTTTTCTGCGACACCACTAGAAATTTTGAAATGGCAAGCTGTACTCCTTGGCATTCACACCAGAAGCTTCAATATGAACATTTCAGAGTGTTTGGGTATCAATCTGAGGATGGTGCAGAGGTTTCAGAAAGAGTTGAATGAGTCTAATGGTGATTACAAAGGTGTTTGGAGGGATCACTAGTGATGGCAATGTTATGCCTCCATTCCTCTAACAAGGCCTCAGACTCAACACAGAGGCCTATGTCTTGAGGAGGTAGTGATGCCCTGAGTCAAGATGGTGACTGCTAGAAGACCCTGTGTTTGGCAACAGGACTCTGCACCATATCATACAAGCAGGAGAACCCAACCATGGCTGTCAAACAATTTCTGCAACCATATCACCCTTTACATCTGACCACCTAACTCCTCAGATTGCAACCCAGTTGATCATTATGTGTGGGGTGCAGTTGAGCAAGAGACCATCAAAACGTTTTGGAACACCAAAGATGACCTTAAGGCAAGGATTATGGCAGCTTTCACCAACTTAAACAAGGGGAGTTTCCAGAAAAGTTGCAGGAGATTGTGAAGTCATCTGGAGGCCATGGTTGAAGCCAATGGCAATTTTATTGAATAAATTTACTCTTTAGTATTTCAAGTTATTTTTGTGTAACTTTGGTAAATATACCTGTTAAAATGAGATGTTAGTGTTATTTTCATTTTGGTATAATTTAGATGACAATTTATCCATCGCACCTCTATTTCCTTCTTTCTTTTCTCCTTTCTTTTCTTTATCCATCAATTTCTCATTGATTGTTTTCTTTTTCAATCACCTCCAATTTTTTTTTTTTTTTTTAAGCGTTTCACCCCAAGCAAGGCGAGAAGCCACTAGGACGCAAGGGGTTACAGAAAATTTGAAGCAAGACCAGACAGGAGTGATAGAAGAAAGGATGAGGAGAAGGGTATTGGATAGATCAAGGCAACTGGAGATGTCAATTGACATTGCATTTGAATAGCTGGAGATTATAGCTCTCAGGGAAACTGGAATAGGGAAGGGAGTTCCACAGGCGAGAGGTGTGAGACATGAAGCTATTTTCTTTATCTCTTTCATTTCTATTTTATCTTTAAAGTTTTTTTTTCTTTGATCATTTATGCCAATTTATTTCCTTTCTTTTCTTTTCATTCTTTTTATTGTTTTTTCTTTTTACTTTTTTTCTTGCTATAAATTCATCTTTTTCTATTTTCATGTTTGCTCTACCTTCTTTCTTTTTGCTTCTAGGTTTTATATAATTATTTCATTTAGTCAGTCTCAATGCTGTTTCCCTTGTTTTTTATTTTACAATCTCTTCTTTACAAACTTTTCCTTGATCATTTCCATTTCTTCATCCTTTTTGAAATTATTTTTATTTTTTCATTTTTCACTGAATTCCAATGTTTTCCAGATTCTTTTAAAATTGATTTCCTTTCATTCCTATCATTTCTTTCTTGTCTTGATTTTCTTTTCTGGATTTTGTCCCTTCAGAATTCATAAATCTCTACAATATCTTGTTACTCTCCACAACACTTGCTCTTTTAGGATTTTGTCATACTTTTAGTGTTTGTCATACTTGTTCCTTCATTCTTTTGTTCAAATTTGCAAAGTAGGTAACTTACTATTTTCTTCTCACCTTCAATGTGTCTTGTGAGTATTAAATTCTCTAAGCCTTCTTTCTTCATTATGTTATAGGAAATAAACCCTATTTCACACAAAATGACATACATACATACCATATTGAAATATAGAAAATAGGAATTTATTTTTCTCAGAATGTTCAAATATTTCACATGGTGAGATTAAATTTCTAACCAATAGACACTTTGATTTAAACAATGTGTGTTGTATTGTGGAACCTTTTTGGCATGTTTGTAATACTGCCTGTTATTGGATAGAAAATAAAGTTATTTTAAAATATATAAAATAGTGTTTTAGTTGTCTCTGATTGGTCAAATATTTAGAAAACTAAAACCCTATTTTCTCAAATCTGCATTCAGGAAAAATTCTTAAAAAAACTTTTCCACTTTCAAAGAGAGAAAGGCAACTGTCTCCCACCAGCATGTGCAGAAAGAGACACGAGTTGGCAATTTCTGATGAATCAGCTACAACAATAGTAGCATGGACAGCCATTAAGTGACTTCAAATGAATCATCTCCAACACCAACAAATACAGTCTGTAAATCTTTGCTAACAATATCAATTTTTTCTGATCACAGGTTTTTTCTGTTGACCAACTATTTAAAAGTCTTTTCTAAATTACAAATTTTTCTGAGTTTGTTACACAGACTTTAACTCAGAAAAAGACTATTCTTACTTCTTTTTGACTCTTTTGAATTTATGTACATATGTTTGTAAGTACAAATCATTTATTTAACAGGCCTAACCATGTTTTCTTTATTTTTATTTTATTGTTTGCAAGTCAGACATCCAGATTTTTAATATAAAAACAACGTGGTTGACTGAAGCTCCTACAATATGTCCCCAAAATTTATTCATGAATCAACCAATGGAAGATAGTGATCCTGCTTTCCCTCCCAAGGCCAATGTACTGATGATAAGTTGGGAGTTTATTGCACTCATTTTTCTATTATTACAAGTCTGAATCAAAAATGCATCCCAAAAAGTGGGGTTTATCTCACATTAATGCACTATGGAAACAAAAAGATAACCTTCAAGATGCTCACATATACAGAGGTATCTCAATTGGATCCATTATGGTCAAAGTGTTAATGAACATTATATTAACTACTCTCATATTGTTTTTTTGAAAGTTAACTCTTATCAACCCATTGTGGTTTTTGTTCTGGTAAGGGATGTAATGATTATATATATATATATGTCATCGAACAACTCCAGGAAATTGCTTATGTCTCTAATTGGAAAATTGTATACCTGCTATGTTGACCTTACAGCAATATACGACCACATAAATAGAGACTTCCTCTTCTCATCCATTTTTCCAAGCTCTGATTCAACTGAATGTTTAGATCTGATAGAAGAACTATATCAATCCACAAAATCTTACATATCTGGTCTGTACCCCAATACAGAGATGTTTCAAAGCTTATCAGCAGTACGATAAGAAGTAAAAGAGATCCCAAGTCTATTTAATCTTTTCCTAGACTAGGCCTTGAGCATTTACAAGCATAAATGTGAAGATATGGGCAATGATCATTTAAGGATTCCATACCAGATCTCAAACAAATCTATTGATAAAAGTCAATGATCCTGCTTTCCCTTCCAAGGCCAATGTACTTATAATGGGGAGGGGGCTATGCTGATGATATAGGTATATATAAGTTGGGAAAGAATTAATTTGAACAGAAAATCAACACCTTTACCAGGTGTTCCAAGATAAACCTTTCCAAAACAGAAACTATGATCTGGAATTAGAATGAAAATCATGATGTCACCTACACTGAATCTATCATAAAAATTCAAGATGTTGAATTAGTGAATACTAAACTTTTCAAATATCAAGTATGGATCAGTTATAATAACTTAAGCATGGTAGATAAGAATACTGAACATAGAATAAACTGTGCTAGGAGTAATTTGGACCAACACAGCAAGTTACTACAAAACCAAAATATTAGCCTGAGAACTTGAGTCATGTTTTTAAATAGACTCATCAGATTGAGACTTAGAGATTATGCTTGGCACCAAATCCATCCAAAAATATCTAAACTCTAAGCTGTATACAACTGTGTTCTAAGATCAATGGTTCAAAATGGCTTTTAGTGAGTGAAGCCTATGTGTCTTGGTGAAACCATACTTCTTCAAACCTTGTGGACTACAGAAGCATAAACAAAAAAACTTTACCAAATAACAAAAACTACATCACCTGAGAATATTCAACAGTGCCCACAATTAAAATGTATCTTGAAGTGAAAGCAATGGCATAATGAAGATGTTGACATTTCACACAACTTCCAATAAATGATTAGGAAGGAAACCGCTGTCAGTGCTGGAAAAAGTGATGAAATCTACTGGGCTTGAGAAACCTATTTTCTTGAATGTTAGGGGATGCTAACTTACTCCTCATATAAAGGATGATAACTCAAAATACAATTGAGTTACTTCCCTTGTCTGCTAGTCAAAGCAGACATTTCTGAATTCAACATGGTTACAAGTTGATACACACATGGAATTCATGGTTTAAATCCAAATTAATCTTTGCTGTTTTCAAACAGTAAATAAATAGAAGTTATCTTATTACATATTGAAATACAGTTGTCTTTTATTTTTGTTCCTTTTTGTTTGTTCAAACAACCTGGGATATAACACTGAAAAATTGTTTTAAGAGAAAGATTTTATAAATTTCAAATGATGGTATTATTGGCTGCTTGGTCAATGAATGCCAGGATGTTTCCTTATAAGGGAACAGTTAATATAAAGATTACAATTATCATTGTTTATTTGTATACAAACCATTTGTTCTCTGTACTGTTTCTTATTTTTAATATTATATTATTTTCAGACTTTTCCTCATTTTCTCATTAGTTCCATCTTTTCCTTGACTATTTCCTTTTTTCTTCTTTCAATTCATTTGTTAAAATCTTTTCTTCAATTTTTTACCCTGTTTTATTCTTTCTTGGATTTTCTTTCTCTTTTTCTATTCTCCAAGCCTTTATTTCACCCTAACTTTGTTTCACTTACACTGTCTTTCAACTGTTTTCTGATGGCCTAAGTTTTAATAAGAAACCACTTTTTACTCTTGCAGTTTCAAATGCATATGGAAATCTTCTACTTACAGCATGAATTGAAAATGAAGAGTCAATACTTGGGGAATAAAATTCACAAAGATCAAAGCATGAGAGAATAACATTTTCAATAAAAGGGAGTAATAAAAAACCATAAAGTAACAATGTTTTGTGCAGAAAGCAATGAATTTTAGAATACATAAGCACAAAAATAATTATTCAGAAGAACTAAACAATGAAAGAAAATGGATATTTTAAAAAACAAAAAAGTGGTTATAAGGAAAGAAGCAAAGAAATGATTGAAGTGTAATCATTTCAGAAAATAATTCCCACTTTATATATATTATTCCTGGAGACAGTCAACTGAATTTTCAAGTGTTATTGTTTGCTATTTTTAATATACATTCATTCTCTTGTCTCTTTTTGTTGTCTTATTTTCTTTCTTTTTCTTCTTATCTATCTTTCTACTTTGCATTCTCCTTAACTGTTTCATTGTTTGATATTTTATTTTTTCATTTAGTTGTCTCTCTCTTTCTTTCATCTTCTCTTACATTCATTCTTTTCTTTACATTTTCCTTTTTTCTTCACATATCCACATTTCTTTCTTTTTATTTTCTGTCTCTCTTTCTTTCTCTTGTTCTTTTCATCCTCTTTCTTTCTTGCCAGTTTCCATTTCTTCCTTTTTTATATATATCTACATCTTTCTCTTTGTTTCTTCTCATTTAATATCCTTTGAAGTTGTCTTCTCTTTCTTTTTCATTTTTGTCTCGCTTTTATTCTTGTTCTTTTATTTCTCTTTTCTTTCTCAAAATTATTCATTTCGTTTTTTTTATATATTTATATTTTATTTTCTTTCTTGTCTGTTTCTCAATGTTTAATATTTGTCTTTCCTTGTTTTGTCATTGCTCACTAAGTGCTTTTTTTCATTTTTCTTTCCTTTATTTTCTTCTTTTTCCTTTTCTTTATTCTTGTTTCTCCCCTTGATTTTGTCTGCTATTTCTTTTAGGTTCCTCTTTTGGCCTTTTTACATTTGCCTCTCTTTTATTTACTTTCTTCATCCAATTTTCTTTGCAGACATTGGATTCTTTCTTTCTTTGTCTTTCTTCTTCACATTTTTCTTCTCTTTTAAAGTTTCTTTTTCTTATTTATTATTCCTTCATCTTTTCTTTCTTCACTTTTTTGCTTTTTACTTCTTTTTCCCATTGTTTTGCTTTTTAGTCAGTTTTCAGCATTTCCATTTTTATCTTCTTTTTCATTATTTTTCCTCTTTTTATATTCTTCTTTTCTTTATCCAATCTTCTTTCTTTTACCATTATTCTTTTATCATTTTATTTTTACCTTTCTTTCATTCATTTTTCCATTTTTATACTCATTCTCTTTTCTTGGCATTGTTCTTTCACTTCTGATTATCTTTGTCTTTCTTTTCCATCTTTATTTTTCCCATCTTCTTGTTCGATTCATTCCTTCTTTACTTATACTTTCTCTTTGTATGTCACATTTAGTCCTATGCTTTTCTTTATGATGCCACAATAATGAAGATGTCATCATTTTAAATTCTTTAGACAATAAACTGAAAAAGGCCATAAAGTTATAGCTTAAGCACAGAGGCCTGACAGACATACAAAACAGAATTAACAATACACAGAGGAGGAAAAAACACCAAGAAACATATAAGAATAAAATAAACATTTAGAAATATTCACAAAAAAACAGAAATAATCCGATTTTTGTTAGGTTTTATATGTCCTCTCATGTTTTATATGACTTTTCACACATTTTTAATTCATATTTTATTTTTATAACTATAAAATAAAAATATATATACAAATATATGCAAGCCAATAACACTACATTTGTGCCATCATATCAAAAAAAAATACAGCACTTGAATTTCTCATCGAAAAACATGTGCAAGGCTTCTCATAATAAAAAATATATCAGCAAAAAGATATCATTTTTTGTGCGTCTGTGTGCATCTTAAATTCTCCGTTTTCTGAACATGACTAAAATATCATTCTTTCAACTCTATATTAAGTTTTTTCTGAGGAAAATATATCTTTGAAGATTTTTAACAAGAATGAAAAAACAGAAATTCTTGTATACATACATACATACATACATACATACATACATACATATATATATATATATATATATATATATATATATATATGAAGTAAGGGAGAGAGATAAAGAAATAGATGAACAAAGGAACAAAGGAGAGTACATATGAAGAAACTCAGATATGAATAGAAGTTTGGTATTTATGAACAAATGGCAATAAAAAGAAAAATGTGTAAGGAGATAAGAACAGTGAATGATATTTGCAATAAAATAATTGATATGTATGTATAAAGAGATATATTAATGCACAATATCATACAGAATGACCAATTAATAATCAGAACATTAATTACAATAACAATTATAATAAAATATCATACTGATGAATGAGTGTCATGGGTTATAAGGCAATTCAATGCAACTATGGACTTTCTTAACTTAATTGAGATTTGAACATATATATATATATATATATATATATATATATATATATATATATATATATATATAATTATTTATTTAAGAATATGATTCCAACATAATTATATTTATGCTCTACTTTTTTATTGAGCACTATTTTTTTAAAATAATAACAAAAATACTAAAGAACTTTTGGATTATTTACCTAACGAGTTCTTTTCCTATTTTCTATATATTTTCACATATATATATATATATATATATATATATATATATATATATATATATATATATATATATATATATTTACAGCATGCCTAGTTAACTCCCCTTGAAAACAGTGTCCACCTACAAAAATGATAATCTTTGGATGACCACAACAATTTTTGCCCTTCACAACCATGAACATTAAATGCTTACTCTATATTTAACAATACCCTGATGATGATACTATTCTATGTCGAAAGAACTCAGAATAAATACAGTATGAGCCAACACAGTGTTTCTGTCTAACCTTTTAATAACTGCACAAAAAGCTTATTTACGAATATGAAAGAATCTTATAAAAATAATTAGCCAGAACATGTCTAAATTATTTAACGAAACCTGTCTTAATATATATATATATATATATACATGTCTATATCTATCTATATGTATATATATATATATGTATATATATCTATAATTGTATATATATATGTATGTATATATATATATATATCACAGACGCGCCATCGCCTCTCTCTGTCTTTTCTACAAATACTTTCATGGTAATTGCTCTGCTGAGCTGCTTTCACTGGTTCCCAGACTCCATGAATTCAAGTGCCCTACGAGGCTGGCATCCTGCTCTCACTCTTACACTGTAGAAACTTTTAAATGTAGCTGTCTCTTCTACTCCAATAGCTTCATACCTCGCACCTCTTGCATGTGGAACACCCTTCCCAATTACTGTTTCCCTAAGAGCTATAATCTCCAACTATTCAAATGTAATGTCAATCAACATCTCCAGTTACCTTGATCTATCCACTATCCCTCTCCTCATCCTTTCTGCTATCACTCCTATCTGCTCACGCTCCAAATCTCCTGCAACACCCTGCATCCTAGTGGCTTCATGCTTTGCTTGGGGCGTAATGCTTAAAAAAAAAAAATATACATGTACTATATATATATATATATATATATATATATATATATATATATATATATATGTGTATCTGTGTGTGTTGTGTAGGCGCAGAGAATGATTTTTGTCAAACTCAGATTCAGTGTTGCCCAATTATGCAACGTTAAAAAGATATATTAATACATTATACTAGCCATTATTGTTGCTTTCATGATTCAAGGGGAGTAACTCTTACTTTCCTTTTGTATCCAAAATTGCAGTGCATGTTTTATTATGAAGTTGCTTAAAAGATGCCCTGTCAGGTGACATTTAAACTAGCTCCTGTAGAGGACTCTTGGTTTGGCCACCACCACAATAGGTAGGGAGGAATAAATGCAATCAGCATCAATAAACTACAGAAGAACCCAAACTGCATTTAAGTATTGAGTTAATGTTTAACTTACCTTTTAAAAGTTCAACAATAATTCTTTTGCTGCAACTTAATTTAAAGACATTTTGAGGTACATAGATCTTTATTTTTCATATAAGCAATTATTTTTATTTCATGGGTGACAGAACAGGGGGCAATTTATAAGATAAAATTAATATAGTGTAAAAATGGGAAAATAGAAATTAGAATTAGTTATACATTCAACATTTGAAGAGTTAGAGAAACATAATAGCTAATTAAGTAAAACCTTTATTATGCAATCTATATGAATAAATGTGAAATTGGGGCACAATTCTCCCATGAATTCTGAGATTAAAAAGCCCCAGCTCTACTTTATAGTAATTTACTCACGGTATTTACTCTGCCCCCTCCACAAGGACAAGATGTGACACAAGCTCTACTTTTAGGTGGAAACCCGAGCGCATACCCTGAGGACACGAACAAAAATTCCCCTCAGCCCCTGCAACCATTGGTTGTACTGACCTCAGTGCAGCAACTGATCCCTCCCTCTGGTGCAATGGGAGGGTGCATCTTCAGGCACCTCTTCAGTATGATTTTCTCAGTTGCCCCTCTGTCCTTTGAAAGAAAAGGCCCTGAGTGCACTCTGTCCAAAGACAGAGACGCAACTGAGAGATGATGAGTTAACATATACCTACTCAAAAAGAGTAAGGTACACACGGTATTTACTCTGTCCCCCCACTAGGATGTGATGTGACACAAGGTCTATTTTTAGGTGGGGACCCGAGCATGTACGCCTGGGACAGGAACAAAAATTCTCCTCAGTCCCTGCAACCGTCAGTTGCGCTGGCCTCGGTGCAAGCACCAATCCCTCCCTCTGATGCAATGGGAGGGTGCAGCCTCGGGACGCTGTTCCCCGGGGCTGGGCACTTCTCGGTATTATTTTCTCAGTTGCCTCTCTGTCATTTGACAGAGAAGACCCTGAGCATATTCTGCCCAAAGACAGAGACACAACTGAGAGATGATGAGTTAACGTGTACCTACTGAAAAAGAGTGAGGAATGAGCTAAAAGCTCAATACCTGTATAATATATTTTCTACTTCTAGGTAATATTACTCTTCAGGTTTAACTAATTTGCATATTGATTTTAAAAAAAAGTTTAATAACTCTCCTTCATTACTGTTTTTTTCTTCGAGGATTGTTTTGATTTTCATATCAAAAATAATTATGTTTAGGAATATCATCTAATATAGTGCAGAAAAGCGTTTGAAATTTGCATGTTATTTGGCCTTCAACAAGTCGTTATCTATTTGTAAAACTTTCCATAACTATAACAAGCCAATTTATGAATGAAATGTTCATTTAAAATTTTTGTTTCAAATATTTCAAGAAGTGAATATAATTTACTTTGCAAAGCAATAGACATCCAAAAGCCTCAAGCCAGGATCGAAACCCGACTGATCTGGTGGCAGTCAGAGTTTCTCCCACTAAGCCTTCAACTCTCAGCAGAGAGAAACTGCTAATTCTTGTGTATTGTTTTTATGAATGTAAACAAATGCCAGTCAGCCAGAGTGTTCATATTCATTTTACCGAAGAGCTTTGCATTTTAATGTAGGCGGCTGCTGTTTGTAGAATTAGGTTGCCTCTTAAGAGTGATCAATTGAAATATATTTTCAAGAGCTTTATTATGTCATTTGAGGACAGTACTGTTTCAGTGTATCACAGCTCCTCAGTGTGACTAGATGTCCAAAAGCCACAAGCCAGGATTGAAACCCAACCGATCTGGTGTCATTTGAAGTTTCTACACCTAATCCATCAGCACTCAGAAATTGAGAGAAACTGTTAATTCTAGTGTATTGTTTTTACGAATGTAAACAAATGCCAGTCAGCCAGAGTGCTCATATTCATTTTAATGAAGAGCTTTGCATTTTAGTGTAGGCAGCTGCTGTTTGTAGAATTAGGCTGTATATATATATGTTTATATATACACACACACACACACACACACATATATATATATATATATATGTATATACACACTGATATATTTCATTACATTGTAATCTACATTTGAATATATATATATATATATATATATATATATATATATATATAAGTGATGTATTTTAATGCCCAATAGCTGAGTAAATGTTGTTACTGTTGAATTTTTTATTGGTTTATATATATATATATATATATATATATATATATATTGTATAATATTATCACTGATGAAACATACAAGAAATCATTGTAATTCATAAATAATAAACCATATGGGATACATAAACTTTGAAAATAATAGTAAATCAATCAATAAGTAAATAAATGTTTCCTAAACTAGGATGAGCATTAGGTTCATCACTTTAAGCCAGAGACAAAAAGACAATCCATGCAGTGGAAACACC